GCCGGGCGCCGCCCCCGCGCCCCTACCCGACCCCGGCCGGGCCCGGCCCGTCCTACCTGGCGGCGACTGCCGCTCGCCCTCAGCCATCTTCCTCCCGCCAGGAGCCGGCCCGAATGCCTGCAGTCCCCTCTCACCTTTCACCTCCGCACCCCCTCCCTTTGCCCGGCTCCACCAGGCGCTCAGAGCTTTCTGAAGAGAAAGGAGCACCAGCCGGCTATAACAGAGAACCGAGAATTGAAATCACCCCCGTGAAGACGCCCGCCATGCTGGTGCGGGGCACTCAGGGAGCATGCCCAGCAACGGCCGGCTCGCGGCTGCGGCGCTCACGGGGAGGCGGCGGCCATGTTGGTGCGGGGCAGCTGGGAGCATGCGCGCCAACGGCCGGCTCACCTCCCTACCAGCCAGCGGTCCGCCCGGCTGTGGGAGCGCGGCAGCCATGCTTGTGCGGGGCGCTCCCCACCTGTCATCGTTGACCCTAACCCGAGGCATATTATAGGACGTTCCCTTATTGACATGGTTGTGTTTTCCTGCCGCTCTGAGAGTAGAGCTCAAGGACACCAGATGGACTGAGAGGGGTGCACGCTACTGCCTCCGACAGCTTAGACAGCCTGTGGAGGTGGGAGACGGCGAGCTGGACAGCAGCCTTTTTTGCCCGTCTTCCTGGATTCCACGGCCTCGCGGGGTCTCGCGACCACTAACTGCGCCCTCGGCTCCGCCCCCGGCCAACCCCGCCCCGCGCTCGCGGCTAGCCGCCCGGGCCCGCAACCGGCTGGTGGCCCCGCCCCAAGAATCCTCCTCCCGGGGGCCCCCAGCCCGCCGCCCGCCCGGCCCGGTGGGTGGGCGCCGGGCCGCCTCCGGCGGTGACTCTGCAACCTTGGCCCGGAGACTCTAGCGGGGACCCACCAACGGCGGCGGAGGCGGAGGCGGAGGCAACGGCGGGGACTTTGCCCAGTGCGGCGGATCGAGCGGACTGTGTGTCCGCGGGCGGGCCCCAGAGATGTTGGCTTTCGCGGCCAGGACCGTGGTGAGTATGGCGAGGAACCCGGGCGGGCGGGCGGGCGGGCCCTGGACAGGACGGGCGGGCTGCGAGTCGGGCCAGACACGCAGCTGCGCCGGAATGGAGAAACAGGCCATGGAGGCGACGCGGCCTGGTGGCCACTGTCCTGCCCGGCCAACAGCTGCTGGGGTGGGATCCCCAGGTGGACTAACCCTGCTTGGCAGAGGAGGGGACGGAGGCTCAAGGTCAGAGATCCGATCGAACGCACGTCGTGTGGCTCTAAATTCCAGCCACCTGGAAAAGATAGTGGGGACCCTGGCTTCAGGCAGCACCTCCACCCTTAGACCCAGAGCCAAGGAGCTGAGGGACCGGGAGTCTTTCCCCCAGTTATTCCCTGACTCACACAACTGTCGCATACTCAGCCTGAGCCATCTATGCCCAGGCCAGAGCCACTTCTCCAACCTCATCCAGTTGGTCAGTCTCCTTGGGCTTATCAAATGGCCCCTGGGGAATTTTGTGTGGCCAGAGAAATTCATGTGGAGGCCTCAAGCTGGGCAGCTTGGAAGATCCTCTGAACCGGCAGGAGGCAGCAGTTGGCAGCCCCATACCCTTTGTCTCCACCAGTCCCTCCCCGCCAGCTTGTCCATGTCTACCCCAGAATCCTCCCCACAGGGCAGCAAGCAGTGCTGCCACTCTGATTTGAGTTCCTTTCCTCTCTCCTCCAAGCATATCTCTGCTTGTATCTCCTTCTGTCTATACCAAGAAGGATGTTCAAACAGACACTACCTGGCCCAGGGGGCTGAGGCTACTCATCCGCTGGCCCAGAGGCTCTTCCAGATCTCCCAGAACCCCAAGGCTCCATGTCACCCTTGCCACTGACACCGAGCAGTGCCCCCGTCTGACAGACAGCTTCTAGGTCATCCTCCAGGACCTGTTGGGTGGCCTGATCACTTTACGGCTGGGGAAACTGAGGCAAGGAGAGACTTGGCCAGAATCCCCCGGATCTGGTGACTCAAATCTAGCAGAATCCCAAAACCAGCTGCCTCCTCCTTCAGTTTATTTTTTTAGTGCCCGAAAGTCCTCCACTCTTGCCCCCAGGTGACGGCTCAAGAGAAGCAGGCTTTGGTGGAAGAGAGGCCCCCAGAAGGGCTCCAAGAGTACTGGAGGAAAACGGGATGAGCTCTTAGCAGCCCCTGGCCACTTAATGGCCCTTTCCCAGTGTCCGCTCTCTTGCACCCACCCCAGTTTACAGGACTGATTTCACGGTTGTGGTGGAATCTCAGTGGCCAGGCAGTTTCTGCCTCCAGCCAAGTTTTCCATCATTAAACAAACCTACGCAGATTCCAACAGGTGGATTTTTAAAAATTCCTCCTCGCCCTGGCACCAGACCCACCCAGAGAAGAGAGGAGAACATAGTCCAGGTTTCCTCCTACTCTGGTGCCCACTACCGGCCCCTTCACCTGCTCCCTAATCCTCTACTTCTGGCAGCCAAGAAGGATGCCTGCCACCGCCACAACCCTAGATGCCACCCTAGCCACCAAAGCCATTGCCACTTCCGCCTCTGCGTCCCCCCTGAATCTTGGCTCTTGTCTTCTCTTTCCAGCCCAGGCAAGTGGCTGTCTCTTGCTAGGTTCTGCTCGCCCACTGGGTAGCACAGTTAGGCTTAGAGGCCCAGCCCAAGGCAGAAAGACAGGGCTCAGAACCTCAGTCCTGCCATGGAGGACGGGCAGCAGAAAGAGAAGGTATGGAACGATCCTCTGCCACTTGCCTGCCCACTGCTGCCCACAGCCCCCGGATCTCCTATTTCTCTTTCTGCCCACCTGCAGAATCTCCCCAATTTTCTCTCTCTGCCACCTCTTACCCACCTATCAGGCCATTTAGCTCTTGCTTTCCACGGCACTGCCCCTATGCCGCCTCTGTGCCCGTCCCACAGACCGATGAAAACCAAGGCCTGGCCCTCACCCAAAGGTGCTGTCGTCTTCCGGCTCTTTCTGACTTTCTCTTTATGCCTCTCATCTCCCAGCTTGGCAAGGGTGGGAGAAATGGAGGTGGGGACCCCTGGGTGGGAGCGGTCACCTCGCTGCTTGCTGACTGGCTCATTGGGCTAGGGTGAAGAAGGTCGGGCCTTGTTGCTTCCAGACAGGTGACAGGTCGCTGTCAGCTCTGCCACCTCCAACAGGTGCCATTCATCCTGACTTGGTTCTGGGTTACCGGGATCAATGGCCACACCCCTGCCCATCCCCCTGCCTGCATCCCCAGGCCCCAGAGAGGTGGAGACACCTACAGTTTGAGGGCTGGGAAGCCAGTCAGGCACCACCCAAGAGGCTGTCTCTGACCCCAGGGATGGGCACATAAGTGCCCAGGACCAGAGCTTTAGGATTACCAGGGTCTTCCAGAGCCGGTGCGAGAATGAGCAGGATGTTCTGCTGCCTGCAGGTGAAGCCACTGGGCTTCCTCAGGCCCTCCTCCTTGATGAATGTCTCCAGCCGCTTCAAGGCCCACCAGGATTCGCTGCCCCGGTTGCCCGTGCCCGCGCTCCACCAGTCCCTGGACCGCTACCTCAAGGCGCTGCAGCCCATCGTGAGCGAGGAGGAGTGGGCCCAGACCAAGCAGCTGGTGGAAGAGTTTCAGACCGCGGGGGGTGTAGGGGAGCGCCTGCAGAAGGGGCTGGAGCGCAGGGCCAGGAAGACGGAGAACTGGGTGAGTGGAGCTCCCTGTTCCCATACGGGTTGAGGGGCCTGGGGCCCTCTCAGAGGTTCAGGTCATGAGAGGATCCCTCGCTGTGGCCTGGTGCCGGCCTCATGCTGAATTTCCTAGCACCAGCTGCTCTGGCACATTCTTTCGTGCCACGGGGTTTCTTGAGCGCTTCCTCTGTGCCTCGCACTAGGCCGGTCCCTGAGTGAGCAAGAAGGACACAGTCCATGGTCCCTTGGGGCTGACATTCAAGGAGGGTGGGAAGCAAGGTGATTAAACAGCATACAGGTGAGTGGATGAGTTTCTTTCCGGCAGTGAATTTCCCCAGGAGAAAAAAGGGAGAGAGGAGAATGGCAGTGTCTTTGTTTTGAGTGGGCAGAGAGGAGGTGGCCTTGGATCTGAGACAGAGAACAACTGGGCCAAGGTGGCAAGAGCCTCGCATGTCCAACAGCCAAGGCTGGAATGTAGAGCAATGGCCTGGGGCTGGGGGTGTGGGGCGCATCAGAGGAAGGAATCTGGGCTGGGGTTCAGTGGGAGGGGGCCACAGGATGGCTCCAAGTGGGGCATTGGTCCTGTTCAGTGACAGATCAGATCGCCCTGGTTCCTTGTCCCCATCTGTCAGGCAGGTGTGCACAGCTCGTGAAACTGGGTCCACACTGATGCTCCGTGCACTTTTCTGTATGCATCTTACACCTCAGCACGGTGGAAAAGGACCACCCCAACTGCTGGGAGGGAAGCGGGCGTGGGGGTGGGAGGCACGGGATGAGGCTGGCACTGGCACCCCAAGGGACATGCCAGCAGGGAGAGGGCAGACGAGTCAGTTCCCTCTGTCCCGTGTAAGTTCTGGAGGCAGCACCAGTGGCCCTTGCTGATGGGGGTTGTGGGGGGAGCCGTCCTGACCTAAAGCAACTGCGGGGCGGGCCGGGGGCCGGGGGGAGAGGGAGACTGGCCAAGACGGGGAGGGCTGAGGGGGGAGCAGTCTCGTGGGAGAGAACCAGAGCCGGGTTCCAGCCATATAAGGTGGGAGATGCTCTGAGTGGGGCAGGTGGAGGGCTGGGGGCTGCACACAGGAGATGGGCGTCATCAACTGGCAGGCTGGCATGTACTGAGCCTTGGCAGGCGCTTAGAGAGTCTGTGGTCTGGCGGTTTCCCAACATTTTTATCCCGGAACTCCTTCCCACAGAAGCTTCTAGCTAAAGAGGTAGGGGTATCCCTCTCCACTCACAGGGCCCTCGTGCCCAGCAGATTCTCAGCAGGGGAACGCCCACATCTGCAGGATCTCCCCTTATTTCCCAGCTCTGGCCAGAGGCCCTGAGATCCTGATGGAGTGGGGGCCCCTGGCCGAAGGGCAGCCCGGCTGCCCCCAAGGGGAGGGAATTCCTGTCTGCTCCTCCCTGACCCACAGATGAGGAAGCTGAGGCCGAGAGAAGTAGATTGAAAGCCCAGAGCCACACAGCTGCTCTCAGGGAGGCCCTGAGCTACACAGGAGTGTCTGGCCGACCAGGAGCCCTGTCCTCAGGTCACAAGTCAGCAGACAGACGTTCCTCCCCGGCCTGCTGTATAACCTGGGCACATCACCTTCCCTCACCCCTTGCCAGGGGCCCACGGCTGGTGGCCTGGTGCTGCAGGCCAGCAGTTCCCCAAGCAGAAACTGTTCGGTGAAGAGGCAGGTCCCACTGCCATTTGAGAGGGGAGAGGAAACGCAGTGGGGGTGTGGGGCACCTGGGATGGAGAGACCGGCCAGAGAGGTGTTTTAGACATGTGCTTGCAGGGGCGGAGCGAGGGGGGTAGTACAGTCAGCACGTAAGGCTCAAGGATGATAGTCAGTGATAGTCTGCACAGCCTGGGGATAGGCACCTTCAACAGCCTGTCCATGGCTGGTCCCCAGAGAGACTGCTCCCCCAGTGGAAATAGCGCCCCTTGGGCAGAGGACAGACCACCAGGTGGAGACACAGGATGTGGTACCCACATCTTGTCACTACGGCAGTGATTGACCCTCACAGGGAGCTTTCCCCAGATGGCCCTGACCTGGAGACCCAAGGGAGTGTCTGCACCCCAGTCTGACACCAACAAAACCCAGGCCACGGAGGACCAGGGTCCCAAGGGCTACACTGCACTGAGCCCGTGCGTTCCTGGCTCCCTGGAGAATGTCTCCCTGGGACAGTCAAAAACACATTCATCAGACTTTATAGATTTTTCCCTTTTTCCCTTTTTTGTCTATCCGGCATATAT